TCCGCCACGGAACAGGTCACGGTGTCGGTGCCTTCTTGAACGTCCACGAAGGTGACATGCACATCTCATGCATCACATCTCCATCTCATGCATCTCATCTCCATCTCATGCATCTCATCCTCTATATCTCATGAGAAAACAAAGACAGTCTCTCACCTCCTTCACAGGTCCCCACGGCATCAGCTTCAGACCCACCTCCCAGACGGTCCCCCTCCAAGGAGGAATGACAGTCACCAACGAGCCAGGCTACTACGAAGACGGCAGCTTCGGTATTCGCATAGAGAACGTCCTCTTGGTCAGAGAAGAGAAGACACCCGACAACTTTGGAGGGAAGAAATATCTCGGCTTCGAGAACATCACCTTTGTTCCCATACAGACAAAGATGCTGGACGCGGGCATCATGAGTCCAGAGGAGGTGCAGTGGATCAACGAATATCACGAGGAGGTGTTGAAGAGGGTGGGACCCCACTTGGAGGGAAAGACACTCGAGTGGTTGAAGAGGGAGACACAGCCCGTTCGATTGTGAAGACGATCTCGATGATGATGAATAAAAATATATACAAGGGGATTCTATTTATTCTGGTCAGTCGACCGTCGATCGGTCGCATCTCTTGTATGACTCATTCACCCTTGTCTGCTCCTCACATCATCACCGTGCTTCGAAGCACTTCATGTTTATTTCTCCGAAAATATGAATAAATTTATAAAAATCTGCATCGATCGTCCTCACATTCTGGCAACAGAAGACGCGAGCGCGTGGAGACGTCTCCTCTAGTCGAAGAACAAAAACAAGAACAAGAAGAAGATGAAACAAGCCATCTACCGCTTGTGGCTTGTACTGATGAATGCCGCAGCATGGTATCAGCCTGTTGATGTCGAAAATGAAATGCCAGTGAGAAGAGTACTGAGCTTTCGCTTTGTATTGGGTCATGACCGCACAACGGACAGTTCACATCTTAGACTCGACTATAAAGGCCTCTCCATACTCGGGCTTAGGTTCCGATCTCGAAGCTTTACAGGCATTGATGTACTTATTGCGGCATACACGATAAAACACATCTAACTTCTTCGTGTTCTTGTTTAACGTCTCTGTGTCACCTGTTCGATTTAGAACTACAGCCTCGCCGAACATTATTCTCACTCTGACCAAGCGTCTCGAGATTGAAGCGGGACAAATCGAGTCCGTTCTTGAAGAAATACTTTTCGTTGAAGTCATTGAATGTGCTGATGTTTGAGTTGTCTGGGGCTTTGCGGATTTGGAAGAGCTGTTCAAAGTCTTTGATGTACTCGATGTCTGATTTCTCGGCCATTGGGGCTAATGTTGTGAAGCGGGGGAGTCTCTTCTCAATCTCCTCTACGAGTTGTTCCTTGAGGACAGTCACTTGATCCTTGTTCTTAAAGTCCTTGAGCTGGTATGTTCCCTGCTCTAACTCTGTCTTTCCAAAGATGACAGCAAGGGGGATGTTGTTGAGGAGGGCATAGTCTAATTGTGCCTTGAACTGTGCCTTCTCTTTCGGTAACATCTCCGTCTGTTTTCATTCAGTTTCACACAATCAATGTAACAGAGAAGAGAGAAGAAGAAGAAGAAGAAGAAGAGAAGAAGAAGAAGAGAAGAAGAGAGAAGAGAGAAGAAGAGAAGAAGAAGAAGAAGAGAGAAGAAGAGAGAAGAAGAGAAGAAGAGGAAGAAGAGGAAGAAGAGAAGAAGAGGAAGAAGAGAGAAGAAGAGAGAAGAAGAAGAAGAAGAGAAAGAGAAGAAGAGAAGATACCTTGATTCCAGCCTTCCAGAGAGTGTTGCAGAGAGTCATTCTCTCCTTCAGAACATCCTTATCAGGTGAGATGACCATCACCTCCGTCTCTGCCACTTGGATCTTATCCTTCTCCTGTTCCTCTCTCAGTCTCTCCTCTCTCTACACACATCACGTATGTCTATGTCACACCTTCTCCAGTCTCTGCTCCAAGATGGAGAAGATTCTCTCTACACCCACAGAGAATCCAACGGCGGGAACGGCACCACCAAAGATACCGACTAGACCATCGTAACGACCTCCCGCAGAGATCGATCCAACGCCGACACCTTCTTCACCCAGTAGAACAGCTTCGTAGATGAGTCCAGTGTAGTAGTCCAATCCACGTGCGAGTGAGAAATCGAACAGAATCTGTTTCATCATTCAGTTTCTCTTCATACAAGTGTATGATAGGATGAGATGGAGGATATGAAATAGAGTGACGTCACCTTGTCTAAACACTCGTAACACTGTAGGTAGCTGAAGAGGGTGTCCATCTCGTTGAGGGCAGACATGGCGAGGGCAGAGGATTCCAAGAGCTTCTCCTGGCGGATCTTCTCGAGGAGCTCCATAGGAGAGCCCTTCAGTTGAACGTACGTCTCGATGCGATCGGCCACGGCGGGTTCTAATCCCTTGACTTCCACCATCTCTTTTCTCACTTCTGCCCATGGTGACTGCACGCATTCAGCTTCGATTTCGAATGTCATGGGGAGATGATGTCTCTTGCAAATTTGTGTAATTGAGATGAGAGGGAGAGAATAAGAGGAAGGAGATGTCATGAGTATATGGAAGATATGATGTGAGATGATGATGTGAGATGATGACCTTGTCGAGTTTGTCTACGGCGGAAGAGATGGCACGGAACTTCTCCTCGGGTACACCGCAGATGGCAAAGAAACCGTCCAGTAACTTCCTGTGGTTGATCTACAACGCCTCAGCCTCTCACGAAATGAAAATGGAATCTTCACCTTGATCTGGTATTTTCCAATGTCGAGTGAGTCCAAGATTTCGGTCATGAGCTTGATCGCTTCGGAGTCGGGGATCATCAGATCGTACTCTCCGGCGATGTCAAAGTCCTGGAGATGGACGTCAATCCATGATGGAGATGGAGGGGAGGGACTCACACACTGGTAGAACTCTCGGAATCTTCCCTTGGTCATGACCGGGTTGTCTCTGCGATAGACTCTGCCGATCTGATATCTGAATCATATCAGATGGTGCAAGGGTGGGTGAATCTCACCTCTTGATCTTCTTGATACGGTTCATTGCCACGTAACGAGCGAAGGGCACCTTAAGATGGTCAACAGATGGATGATTTTGGATGGATGGTCACCGTCAGATCGTAACGAAGAGAGCAGAGCTCGCCACCTTGATCTTGCAGATCGTAGATGAGCTTGGAATCTTCTCCGTATTTGCCCGTCAATGTCTCTTTGAGCTCAAAGACGGGGGTCTCGATGGTGATGGCACCGTGTCTCTTGAAACATGCCTTGATCGTGTCGAACACACGCTCACGAACGGACATTTGGAATGCATCGTAGTCTCTCGTTCCCTTTCGATCATGTCAGCGATCTGAGAGTCACGATGGCATCTGATCTACGAGAAATCACATCCCACCTTGGGAGTCTTCAGGGCGGCACGATTCTTCTTTCCTCCCTTCTCCTCCTTCTTTCCCTCTTCTCCTTCAGCTTTGGGTGCTTTGGGCTCTCTTGGCTTCCTCTCAGGCTTCGATTGGTTCTTCTGTGGAGTCGATTCCGCAGATGTATCTGGCTTGGGATCAGCCAATATGGCTGTTGGGTTCTGTCCTTCCATCGTGAGGTTTTCGATCTTTTCAGTGATGGCCTCTGTCATCGTCTTTGATCAAAGACGAGAAAATTCTTCGTTGTAATTCACCGAATTGTTTTCGTATTTGGGATATCACACTTCACAGCGCATGCAGGTCATCATTCACTGAACACTCCACTGTGGATGAGGCTGCGATACGACACTAAATACAGCCGACACATAGATCTTCTACTTCAGCGGTAATCGCTTCACAGATCACATTGGCTGTTAGCGATCTCACTTCGCATGAGCAGTTGGATCTCTCGTCTCAACTTTGCTTGTTGTCTAAACTTTGCTTCAACTCCCTGAAAGTCGTTGTGATGATAACAGGGTGACCAAAGTCTTGTCCTCAGTTTCCGACAAGAAATGCATGTGACATTTTTCTGTACGAAGAGGTGATATAAGTCTTCTGCTCACTTCACTTTGGTTCTTCTATTCTCTTCACGTAGCTGTGTAACACAGTCTCAGGATGTCTCCTCTTCTTTCCTATCTTCTCCACCACCATTCCATATTTCTTGTAGGTGTGATGTCCTGCCTCATTGTACTCCCCGCAGTCTAATCGGATAGAGTCTAAGCCCTCCTCCTTCGCCTTCTCCTCGCTCCATTTCAATAATTCAGCAGACAGGCCTTGTCTGAGAGGATCAATGAGTCTGATTGAATCTGATCACGTGACGATCATCACCTCTGATACTTTGGAAAGACGCAGAGATAATTGATGAACATCTCATTCTTGTTGATGACGGTTGGGTAATCGGAGGGCATCAGAATCTCATTGAGAACCACTCGATAGATGAAGAGAAGGACCCACAGCGGATGCTGAAACGCCATGAGGAAGAGAGTCCACAGGAGACGTAAGACGAATTTCAATTCAGAGTACCGAGGAGGGTCTGATTACGACGTCAATGATCAGCGAACAAATGCAAGATCTCACTCGTATATATCATTCCAGGAAAGATGTGAGCTATGCCAACTGTTTGTCCGTCGGCCTGATCTTCCATCATCCAAAAGTGTTGCAGTGAATCATTGTCTGAGCGAGGAAGTGAGTCAAGAGATGCTGTGATGTGTCTACCTTCTTTCGGCGACCAGTCGAAGTAACGCATCAGAAACGTGTTTGTGATTTCCTTCGACTTGGGATCAAATCCTCCCAAAGACATCATCCATCTTCCCATCGCTAACTGTGCCCCCTTATACGCAATCAGTCGAGGGCTGTGTGATTGGATGATGATACCTCCACGCAGATGTCTTTGTCACGCTTCGAAGATCGATCAGGTCTTCGAATGATGTACTTCTTTCCATTTTTGGCCTGTATCTCCATCGTCATCGCACAGACAGATGACGATGGTATCTGTGTGTTGTTGTAGGGAAAAAATGAAAATGTTCTCAAAAAAGCAAAATCGACACCTACAGGACTCGAACCTGTGCTCCCGAAGGAAGTAGATTTCTAGTCTACCGCCATAACCAACTCGGCCAAGGTGTCTGGATGTATCACGACGACTGTTCTACAGTGCTTAGATCAAGATGCCTGGTGATCAAAGTATGATGGTGTGGTTGCTTCCATAGATATAACATCGTTCAGCTGTACAGGAATCTCTATTGCGTGAGTGTTCAAACTCCAAGCTCTCTCCATCTCTTTTCCAATCCGTCAGCTCTGAAATGTTGCACTGTCCTTGTGTATGGTGAATCCTTGCGGCTTCAATGGATTTGACGAGAAGACTCCAATGTGCTGCGTCCATGAGAACTCATCCACTTCTTACGGACACTCACCTGCACCAGATTGGGCACCAACAGCAGCCGTTGTAGATTCTCTCTCTTGGCGTATTCCCCGATCAAGATGTCCACTGGCTCCCTCTGGTAGTTGTCCAACAGATGCTGGCTCAGAGCCCTCGTTCTGCTGTTGCTGAATACGACTCCCACCGTGAAGGCGTGTGGCTCGAATTGGAACAGCCCTTATTCTTTCAGTCTTTCATCTACAACGGAACCGATGACTGAGACGTACCGGGGGAGAAGGGTGTGATGATGTTCTGCTTCCCCACCGCGTAGAGACAGAAGCCAGAACTGAGAACAAACGACACCCACAAGATGAAAACCAAGTTCTTCTGTGTCTTAACGTACCATCTCAGACTCCTACTCTCTGTTCGCGTGTCATCATCTCTGCCACGTGATCTTCATCACCGAAAGAAGAGAGGAGGAAGAGGGTGAGGAGAGTGAGGAGACTTCCGGGCACAATCGACAGGAAGGGAAGGAGAAGAGAGTCTTCTGAAGCCCAACCAGAGTAGAATTCTGTGTAGAAGAGACGGACCAAGAGCCAGGGCTGAGAGGATGAGTGGGAGGAGAGAGATGCAACGACCCACTTTGCCCCAGACACCAGATCTCTTTGTCTCGGCTCCACGCTCCAATGGAACGAGGGCGCGCTTGAAGAGCTTCTGGACAAAGTGAGAGGTGATGATGAGATCGTCTTCTAAGATGAGAGTGTACCTTTTTGGGTCAATATGTATCGAAAAGGAGAGACATCAAGTGACACACTTGGCCAATTTCTCACAGATCCTGAGACCAAAGACGTAATCAATCGTCTCCTTGTGCTCCCACTTGCTCTCGTTCTCAAAGCCCTCAGGGTACACCTATCTACCATCACTTTCTCTTCTCCTCTTCCTTTCACCTGAGGTGCAGCTGAACGATGTATGACGGGGACCAGCTCTCTCAGAGACGATGCATCTGGATGTCCATCGGGATCAGTCATGGCGTTCAAGACGAAGAGTGTCACGGAATCTGCGATCTGATCACCGGATCAGGTGAAGATGGTCAAGGGAGATGATTGTCACCTCCGGATCCAGTCCTCGAATGACAGAAGCCGCCGTTTCTAAGAGATATCTCTGAGGCCTTCTATCGACTGTGACGATACCTATGCACAGATCTTTCTTCTTCACCTACTCTCACATTATCACATGATAATCACGGATCGATCCACCTGTTGGTGAGTGCCATTCACATAGGCGGAATTGAAGATCTTCCAAAACTCTTCTTTTCCCTTCTGCAGCTGCTGTCTCTTCGCTGTCAGAGCTTCCGTCTTCTGTGTTTTATCCCCCAAGAGGATGAGGTACTCGATCAAATTGCCTTCTCTCTGTTTCGCCTTCTGTTCTTCTACATCTTCATCGTGCCAGAAGATGGAGTACCTGATATGCTGATACCGATTGGCGACGTATGAATAGAAGAGGAGGCACTGACAGAGAACAGCCAGGAGGATGAGCCCACGAACGAGTTGCCTATTCATGTCCCGCTGATCTGTGCACAAGAAAAAGCGGCAAAAAATCTCGGCTCGTTAGGAATGACATCACATCACATCGGGATCGATTCAGATGATGATACGAGCATGGTGCGTCTCTCGCATCTCGCACCCTCTAATATGAATTATCAGAAGAAAGAACCGACATTAACAGAGGACGCATTGGAGATCGTCTTACGATTCGTACTCACAACCGTCAACGATCCTTCACGGTCTCTTCCAAGCGATGAATGCTTCAGAAATCTTCATCAATACTGCCTTCTACGGTCGATTTGTCACTCATGGCGACAACGATTCACACCCCTCCTCCGCCCAGATTTTTGTAACAACTGGGCTCTCCAGCGTCTCAGAACCGTTGAGGAGCTTGGATGGGCCACGACCCATCCTCTAATCACACCATCTCATCTCAACACAGCCCTCCACGGTGCCATTAGACAGAAGAATCCACTCATTGTGAGCCTCATCTCCGACTCACTTGATCGGTTGATGGTTATAGACGACAATACTTCTCTGCAATGAGCCGCGGACAGACAAGAGTGGAGCCTTTTACTTATCCATCTGGACCGATCAACCCGAGATGGTCGATCTTGTCTTACAGAAAGGAAAAGGCACTGCCGACGCTGACCTCTTGAAGTGCATGGAGTATGTTTTCAATCATGGAGGACACTCTATGACTGAGGTGATGATGGGTGAAACTACATCACGATCTTCTCATCTTCTCATCTTCCACAGGAGAACTCAACGTAGTTTGGAGTGGTATTGCCATGTCCATTGTCAAGGGAAATTACAACGTCTTCGATCATCTGATGGGCGATGGACATCTGTCTCCAAAGTGTGTCTTCAAGGCCGTCATATTTGGTTTAGACACTGCGACTGGCTCCGATATGGTCTTGAGAGAGGCAGCTCAGGCTGCCATGATCGTAAGGCTCCTCGGAGATTCCGAGGTGATTCCCATGTAGCTCGTTGTAGATAGAATATTCACCGAAGAAAAAGGTGGACCCTTCGGTGGATGATGATTGGGCCGTGAAGCGTGCGATAGAGGGAAGTCATTGTAGTGCAGTGAAGGCACTCGTTGGAGACCCCAGAGTCAATACACATGTCGCTCTCATGCACGCGATATCTCATCAGCAGATAGACATTGTATACATGCTGCTCGACCTGGGTGATGATGTCATCCGTTCATCTTGCATCTGATTGAACATGCAGATGTCGATCCGTCATCGCACGACGACGAGGCCATCATCTCGGCTGCCTCCATTGGCCTCACCGACATCGTCGAGAGGATGATGAAAGATACGAGAGTCAATCCCGCTTCAAAAGGTGATGACGATCTTCTTTTCATCACGGAATGACATCAGACAGGTAACAGTGCCCTACAGAGAGCTTGTTTCCAAAGACACTATCGAACCGTAGAGGTCCTGATGACGGACAAGAGGGTCGATCCATCACGTGTTCCGAAGGAGTGGATCATGGAGTGGCCAGAGTCGGAGAGGAAGATGGTATTTGGAGGGAAACAGGGGTGCAGCGTCATGTGATGGTCGACCTCTATAAAAGAAGGTGGTTTTATTCTTTCAGAGAATAAACGGAATTTCTTCGCCTGTCATCAATCACATCACGAACAAGAAACATGATTCGAACGGTGATCGGACGTATCTCTGCCAATGCATTGTTCTCCCGCAATCAGGGACCTCTCTTCCATCCTCTCGTGAGGCGAGCACCCATCATTAGGAATCAGCCCATCACTCCATGTTTCATTGCTTCACGGAAGTTCTCGAACGTTGTGAGTGCATCTGACCCTTTTCTGCTCACCACAGAACTGAATCGATCATCATATCACATCAAATCACAGATGCACTTCGAATTCCCTTCCATCACGATCATCAATATAAAAGAAAATCTGAATCGTTCACAGAGAGACGAAGATTCGGAACATCGTCCGACGCCCAACAAATCAAGCAAGAAGGTTCCCAATTGGAGGAAGCGTAACACAAATTTCGATTCAGAAAGACAGAAGAATGCAAAGGTGATCTCACTTTTTCCTCACCTGATCAAAGAGAATGACAGATCACAGATGCAAGACATGGAAGAGACTACCGCTTATCACACTGCAGAGAACTACGATATGGCGGCATTGTACAATCACGTCTCAGTCAAGAGCGCAGGGACCACTATGACGGATGAAGATGATGGCTCGGCGGTGATCAGCAGAAGGTTCAAGGGGGGTGATGTCTATTACTTCCAAGGTGAACACTCGGCATCGACATCTCATGATCGCCACAGACGATCGTGCGACGAAAATCGTTCGATCTACAACGATGTAGATGACCATTTATAGGAGGAAGTGTGGTCATGTGGGGACTGTCACAATCTGATGCGACGGATGTCCTGAAGGAATTGAAGCAATTTGAGAAGGAGCCAATTGGTGAGTTGAATGCCAGACGTGGAAAGTGATGGACGACAGAGAGCATCCAATCTGAATCGATGGACTACACGATGCATCACAACGATTCTTTCATTCGAGAAGACATCATCCACCTCCGATCAGGTATCACCATCTTCTCGTCCATGATCATCATCTCATCCATGATCATCATCTCATCCATGATCATCATCTCATCCATCTGTGATCATCATCTCATCCGTCATCTCATCCATCTGTGCTCACCGTCTCGTTCTCATGCAACCACCGTTCCATGGAAATGAAATTGTCTAGACTTGGAGGAGCAAGAGTACAAGCGTCACCAGCTGGCCTTCTCATTTGGCCTACATCAGTCCGTCAAATTAGCCTCCATTGAAGAGAAGATCGTGGGGCAGATCAGGGGAACTATGAACATCCAAGAGCATCTGGTCAACAAGAGAGGCTGGCTATCAGATCACAGGACGGCAAAGGTGACTCGTTGTAGTCGGTCGAAATGGGCTCGTTGTTGTCTGACGTGAGGTAGAGCGTCAACCAGATGCTGAGTGATCTGTTGAGCATCAGAGCGAGTCTGAATCTGCACTCGGAGCTGATCGGCACCCCGGACATATTTTGGGAGCATCCACAGCTGGAACGTTTCTTCATCCAGATCACAAAGAATTTAGAGGTGATGGAGATGATGTGGAGGAGACGACACGGGCTGATTGGGATGTAGATCGGGAGTCGCATGGACATTGTGAATAAGAGATTGGATGAGATCTTGGTCATGCTCAAGATGCTC